CCCCTAGATGAGTCATTGCCTCAAGGGCATTCAAGAATGGAAAGGGATATTAGCTCTCTGCATCTTCCACCATCAACAGAGAAATTTTTCCTTGTGTCCTTGAGCAGCTTCCATTTACATGGCTTACAGCACTTCTTTCAAACTCTCACAAACACACAATATTTAGTATTATAGTAAAATGTTGGGGCAGAACTTTGAAACCAGACTTCAAAGTTTCCTTCATCATTTACTGTGGAACTGCAGGCAGTTATCTAACATTTCTGCATCTTGTTTTTTCCCCTTCTTTAAATGTTGACTTTTGATCAATTGATTGCACTTAAGACAGACCTTGACATATAACATGCACTTAAGACAGACCTTGACATATAACAAGTATTTAACATACATTATCTGCTATTGACACTTTTCTGACAAATGCCTTACTTCTCCCCCATCAAATATTGCTCTTATAGAATTACTTTACCCATTATTTCACAGCTTATATAGGTTATCAAGCCTGAACTCTCATGTTCTCATGCTTCCCTTTTTTCCTGCTAAATTAACTCTGCTGTTCTTCCTTTTAAATCTTCCATTGTAGGACTTATTCTTCCAGCTAAGGATAAAAACTCTAGCTATGCACCAGTCATAGTCTTTTTTCAGAATCTTGTTCATTAATTTTCTCCTCTCCTCTATATCCTCAATACTTCCCCCATTAATGACTTCTTAATTCTGTCCCATAAATATGTCCACATCTCTTTAAAAGATTCATGATAGAGCGTATTTGGAAGACAGTTTGACAGATTTTTACAAAGATAATCACAGACTTATCATACAATCCACAAATTATACTGCTAGGTATTAAAATTCATGTTCACACAGAAACCTGCATGTAAATGTTTGGAGCAGATTTATTTATAATTACCAGAAATTAGAAGCCACTAAGATGTCCTTCAACAGGTGAATGGATAAACAAACTCTGACACATCCATAAAGTGAAATATTATTCAATAGTAAAAAGAAATGAGCTATCAAGCTAAAAAAAAAATAGAGGAATCTCAAAAGCATATTGCTAATGAAAAGAACTATCTAAAAAGACTACATACTGTGATTCCAACTACATGATATTTGACAAGACAAAACTTTAGAGATAGTGAAAAAAAATTGGTAGTTGCTAGGATTGGGGAGTGAAAAGAGAAACCAGAGAAATTAGAGCACAGTGTACTTTTACAGCAGTCAAACTATTCTGTGCAATTCCATGAAGAATATATGTCATTATCTGGCAAAACCTGTTGAATTGTATAACACGAGAAGTAAGTCTAATGTAAACTGTGGGTTTAGTTAATAATAATGTATAAGTATTAATTCATCAATAATTACAAATATGCCCCCACCAAAGCAAAAAGTTATTAACAGGAGAAACTGTGGACTGAGACAGGGGAAATATATGAGAATTTTGTACTCTATGTTCAATTTGTCTATAATCCTAAAGCTTCTCTAAAAAATTAAAAGGACTTCTCTATAAAGTCTATTAATAATTATCTCAAAACTCAAGAAGGTTTATATAAATAATTTCACAGCAGCTTTAAATTAATATTTGATTAGATAACAGGGAGGAGTGTGTGTACACAAGAGGGTAGAGATATTGGAAACACCTTAGACTTCTGTCTACTCCACTGTATTATCTTATACTGTCACCTGTAAACAGCATCCTGTGTCATAACAGACTAAAATTGATACTTTCTCTACTTTGAAATTGGGCCCTTTTTTCTTTCCACATATTTACATTGATTATTTTTATCTACTTCTTTAGTTTCAACTACTTTTTAGACAGTGTTAATGAAAACAATGTCAACTGTTCTAGACTGTTTTCTAATTAACTGTTCTAGAGTCTATACACAAACCCTTAGTTGCCCGTTAGTGATATCCATTGGAATTTCCAATAGATACACAAGTAAAACTCATTAATGCTCCAATGCATATATATAAAATAAGAACACGGTTCTCCCTGTCCATTTTTTTCTCTTTTTGAATGAGCTCACCATTCACTCAATTGCTCAAAACAGAAAACTTGAAGCATTGGTTGATACTCATTTAAGACACAGTAGAGACCAGGCACTCTCTTAAATTCTTCATAAATACTGACATTTAGTTTTCATAATATCTCTTTGGACAAGGCACTATTAACTGGAAAGATGGACACAGAGCTTTTCACTTTCCCAAGGCATTATATCTAGTAAGTGGTAGGGCTAAAACTAAATCTCTGAGCTCTTAACCATTATGGTGTCTGTTATATTTTCCTTCACTACACCCACTTAATCAAGTCCTATTAATTCTGCCTCTGCAATATCACCTGAACTCACATTACTATCACATTACTCTCTGTGTCTCTGTTGTCATGATCTTAGTTTAGGATCTAATGGAATATCTCTCTGATCTACAAAGGGGTTCCTATCTATAGCTCTTGCTTATTTTGAACAACATTTACATTCTTGTGATATCAATCACTATTAAATGGAAATGGAGGGTCATTTTTCTTTCCTTTTTTAAAAGCTTTCCACCTTTACTCCTTATTCTGCCATGTAAGGTCTCTCTTCATCAGATTCCTGCCCATATTTTCTGCTGTCTCTTTGTCCATAACTGAATCTGCATTAAGACTCCCAT